GTTCAAGCCACTTGTCCCCTTCGCTTCACGCCTTCACTTAGTTCACCCCCGCACCCTTTTTCTTTTGCTTTTGGGCCCTTCCAATTTTTTTGGGCCCTATGCAGTTGGGCTGTCCACACCCCCGACCCGGCCCTGATCAGGAGTAAGGTGAGCGCTTTTTATGCCTAAAGCGAGGGAGTACTCTATTGCCGTGAGTGCGCCTCATGACTTTGTATTGAATACCTTTGAGGATTTGAGTACTACAAAGGGATCAAATAATGTATGTAATTATTAGTAATAAAATTTCATCTAATTGTTTTGAATAAAATGTTTATCAAATTTGGTGTATGTAATAGAATAGTTTGTATTTAAAAAATACTATACCTTCATATATGTGCGTTTTGAAAGACATTCAATTATCGGGGTTTGATAAATGAATTATTTGTTTGGGTTTTTAAAATGGTTCCATACACCCAAAGGTGTGACATATTTGGTTTTGCTAAGATTAATCATAATCTAAAAGTGCTATTTCAACTATTAGAATTTTGGTCAAAAAAAAATAACTATTAGAATTATATTTAAAAAAAAACTACTAGAATTATGGTACAATTACTTTTCTTTCAAACAACTCTCAAGTCTCAATCATAATAAGTCAAATATGATTAATGTGGGATAGTTTTGTATGACTACTAATTAATTTTTTTTGGAAGAACTACTAATTAATTTAATATCCCGTGCAACGCACGGGTAAAAGACTAGTTATACATAAAGTATTTACGGTAGTATTAAAAGTAGAGTTTGTTAGCATGCATGCAAATTATTAGATCACATGCCTATGTTAATTAATATCAACATTTAGGTAGGTATATCATATATGTATGGCCGGGTTGATATAACATACATGTAATGTAATACTTAACTAGGTGCCTAGATGGTATACTGGTGGATGACGTGAGATGTAATGTTGTGACGAATTATATAACATGACATAATATGTTGAACAGTATAGAATTTATGATAATCTGAACACATTTATACGATATATTTTCTTGGGCCAAACATTTTGTTGGTATAAATTCTTAAATCTTGATAAAAGAACCGATTCTTGAATTATGAAAAAGGTGGATGTTAATTAACGAAGAGCCACTGTGTAAAATTTAAATATGAAATTAGTATTTAAATTAAAAGAATATGTTTTGTGAAAGCCTTACTCTTGATCCGGTACTCTGACTAGGATACTCCTGTCCTGTTTAGTGTACTATGTACACTCCTGAAATTCTGTTTAGAGGAATTAGTGCTCTCCTGTTTAGTGTACTACGTACACTCCTGTTCTGTTTAGTGTACTTCGTACACTCCTGAAATATTTTTAGAGCACGAAGGTCCAGGTCTCTTCGGTGATCTCGTCCTTTCTGTTCAGCTAGCTTCTGTCAGGAATTGGTACGTGTAGCTCCGGCGATTACGTTTCCATATTCCTTCTGGGTAATGTGGGTACGGACTTCGATCGACCGTATTCCTTACCGTTAGTATTCCTCGGTCTAGGTCCAGATTGTAGAGTTCAAGGCTAAATGAATATGTATTTTTCAATGATAAGTTTCAGAATAAGAATTATCTGATAATTATGATATCTGAATATGCTTCTGTTCTGTACACAAGAAGAATATAAAAAAATTATCTCAGAATAAAATTATCTGACATTTATGATATCTGAGTATGATTCTATTCTGTATGTAAAAATATGTATTTTTATAACAGCTGCTCGGTTCACCCAGGTATTCTATTCTGAATTATGATATGTTAATATGTTCTTTGATATGTTAATATTATTGTTATGTTATTACCGTACCACTCAGCACATTGCTGAGCGGGTAGTTGTGTGTTTTCCTACCCGTAGGTTAAGCACGGAACCCGCTAGGAGCACAGGGATGGAAAGAGGCGTAGGACGCATTTGCATGCCATGTTATTTGGTGTTTTTTTAATAAAGGACTTTAATATGTCATATGTGATTTTAAGAACTTCCGTTGCACTCCTTGAAGTGTTTTATGATGTTTAAATTATGTCTGTTTTAATAACATTCAACTCCATATGAGTTTGACATTTTCTGGTATTTAGTAATGAAGTCGTTTTGGAATTAATACACTTTATTTTAAGTAATAAAATCTCTTATTAAATGTTTTGTGTTTAAAGTAAAAAAAAGGCATTAATTCTTTAACCACGAAAAGTATTTTTGATTAAATCCGTTCCGAATTTTCCGCCAAGTGACGCGCCACCCGGGTCAGCAGGGTCGGGCCGGGTGGGGCGTTACAAAGGGAGTTAGGTAGAAGGAAGTTAAATGATAATAAATGAGCCAACCACCCCTACCTTTAACAGGTTTAATAAAAATAGCCGAAAATCTGGCCAGAAGGACTACGGATGGTGAGGGGAAAATGGTTACGGACTAAATCTGGACAATTTGAGAGTGGGGGACTAAATGTGGAAGTGGTATAATAGTCATGAGACCAAAAGTGGATTTGTTTTCTAATTTTAGCAACTGGGTATCCAACTTCTACTTCAACCCCTTCATATTCGAAAAAGCATTGAACTTATGAGGATTGAACTTATGAGAAATTGTTGTTCAGTTTCATTTGCATGGGAGGGAAAATCAAAGGAGTCATAGCTCTGATGAAGGCATCCGACTCGTCGGAGCTTCGATGATTTTCAAATAGGTAGAGAGCCAAGAGTCGGATTTCCAATCGGAGAAGCCCATGAATGTTTCGTCAACTGATTTCGCGATTAAATGAAGCCCTAAAGGGGATGGCGAGCGAAACTCAAATGGAGAAAATGGTTGAAGTGAGATGATTATATTCATCAAATAAAAGGGAGGATGAGAAATCGATATCTGAGAAATGAAAATTTCGAAGGAGTTGTTGAGTATACGTGAGCCGTAGGTCTGCAAATTTAGATTGTGCGACTGATATGTTGGGCAGGAAAATGCACTTTCTCTAAAGTAGTGAAATTATGTAGGATGATTGTAACACTTGAGATTTAATATAAACGGATTAATAGTACTACTCATACCAACAGAGGTGCATCTCCTTTTAAGGGAGCTCATCCGCTAAGAACTCCAAAGTTAAGCGTGCTTGCTCGGGAGTAGTCTTGGGATGGGTGACCCCCTGGGAAGTTTCTCAGGGCGCGCATGAGTGAGGACAAAGTGCGCGGTAAAGGCTAGTGGTGGTTTGTGAGGACAGTACTATTGGTCCGGAGTAACTACCTCGGGCCCTACGGGGCGGGGTGTTACAGGTGGTATCAGAGCAACCTCGCGACAGTGTACTGACCCATTGGATATCGGGCGGGCACTTAGCGGGGGAATATTCTGGGATTTGATTGAGATTTGATATTGGTTCAAGGGCGCAACGAGGACGTTGCGATCCTAAGTGGGGGTGATTGTAACACTTGAGATTTAATATAAACGGATTAATAGTACTACTCATACCAACAGAGGTGCATCTCCTTTTAAGGGAGCTCATCCGCTAAGAACTCCAAAGTTAAGCGTGCTTGCTCGGGAGTAGTCTTGGGATGGGTGACCCCCTGGGAAGTTTCTCAGGGCGCGCATGAGTGAGGACAAAGTGCGCGGTAAAGGCTAGTGGTGGTTTGTGAGGACAGTACTATTGGTCCGGAGTAACTACCTCGGGCCCTACGGGGCGGGGTGTTACAGGTACACTTGAGATTTAATATAAACGGATTAATAGTACTACTCATACCAACAGAGGTGCATCTCCTTTTAAGGGAGCTCATCACCCAAGAACTCCAAAGTTAAGCGTGCTTGCACGGGAGTAGTCTTGGGATGGGTGACCCCCTGGGAAGTTTCTCAGGGCGCGCATGAGTGAGGACAAAGTGCGCGGTAAAGGCTCGTGGTGGTTTGTGGGGACAGTACTATTGGTCCGGAGTAACTACCTCGGGTCCGGTGGGGCCGGGGTGTTACAGGTGGTATCAGAGCAACCCTGCGACAGTGTGTTGATCCGTTGGATATCGGGCAAACACTTAGCAGGGGGAAAAGATTCTGGGGTTTGATTCAAATTGGTTTAAGGGCGCAACGAGGACATTGCGATCCTAAGTGGGGGTGATTGTAACACTTGAGATTTAATATAAACGGATTAATAGTACTACTCATACCAACAGAGGTGCATCTCCTTTTAAGGGAGCTCATCACCCAAGAACTCCAAAGTTAAGCGTGCTTGCACGGGAGTAGTCTTGGGATGGGTGACCCCCTGGGAAGTTTCTCAGGGCGCGCATGAGTGAGGACAAAGTGCGCGGTAAAGGCTCGTGGTGGTTTGTGGGGACAGTACTATTGGTCCGGAGTAACTACCTCGGGTCCGGTGGGGCCGGGGTGTTACAATGATTAAGTTTGATAATGGTATAGAATTACATACTAGAAGTGCACTTTCACAATGAAGAAAAAAATCGAATTTGTAACACTTGAGATTAATTTAAAAGGATTAATAGTACTACTTATACCAACAGAGGTGCATCTCTTTTTAAGGGAGCTCATCAACTAAGAACTTCAAAGTTAAGCGTGCATGCACGTGAGTAGTCTGCAGATGGGTACAGAATCATATACATTGGTATACAAATGAATACAAATATCATAGGATTTTCACATCGAGTCTTGCGGGGCCGGAGTGTTACAGAATTATATACAAATGTCATCGGATTTTCATCAATTTTAATGCATTTTTAACATATTTAAAACCATCATGAATAATGAAGAAATCCATATCGACATAGGGAATACATTAAAATTTTATTTATAAAAAAGTTTTGATAACATTGAAATTGGTTGAATATGCCGATTCTCTTAAAATTGATGAAGTTTTTACAGGATAACCAGAATTAGATGAATCTATTAAATTACAAAGAAAATATTTAAAATATATTCCATTAGTCTCATGAAATTGTTTCATATGACTAACATTCATTTATATTTTCTTACTCAATCACAATCATATATTTCCACTGTATTTTAACTTTTTAAAAATTCGATTTAAGTCAAATTGAGAAGAATTTTATTAATACACTAAAGAAAAATTCTATGAAAAATTGACATCTACAACAAATTTAGACAATTCAATTCTAAAAGTAAGTCTATTCATCAATCCTAAAAGTAAGTCTAACTCTATTTATGTTGCTCATTGGACCATTCAATACCTAAAATCAAAAGTTGATGACTACCTCACTAAATTTTAAAAATTCAAAGGTTTGGCTATAAAAAGTCAGAATGATTGTGACTGCAAAAAAAACAGAGCAGAACAGGTGATTCGGTAAGAACTTCCATAATTTCTAAACCCGAGCAATCCTTGCAGGCTTGTCAGCACGCTCTTCTTCTCCGCAGAGTAAGCGCCTCTTCGTTGAGGCAGTGTAGCGGTAGATGATGCTCTGAAGGGAATGCCTGATGGAAGGAGCATCATATTCTTCAATAAACCTCAAGTCAGATTCCCTCCACTTCGCGCCTGCAAAATGTTTGTACTCTTCCAACACAGAAGACAAACACCAGTTCTGCAACTTCCTCAGGCACCCCACCAGACACCCTGTCCGGTGCTTCCCGCGCTTGCAATGGATCAGCACCGGATGGTTTCTCACATCAATCAGGACTCTCAGAGCCTCAGTTATGGCGGTCCTGGATATGCCAGATGGGTCCTTGGTGCCTTCGATTCCAAATTGGAAAAGCTTTACATTGTTGAGGCGGAGAAACTCCCTGTTCTCTTCAGGGTAGGGCTCGGGACACAGATATATGATAGAGCGGAGATTTAGGGTTTGGAGAAACGGGAAATTGGAGGGCCGCGGGAGGCCGGATCTGTATATGCAGAGATCTTCCACCACTGAGAAGTTAGGCGGAGACGGCGGGAGGCCGGATCTGTAGATGGAGAGATCATTCAGCGCTGACAAGTTGGAAGGCGGCGGCGCAAGCACTCCACCGCCGGGTTCAGCCGCCTGTTTCCCGTCTCCTCCTCGCTCGAGAATCACGCACATCCTTCCTCCTCCGAATTTAGTTTCTTCTCTCCTATTCCTTCGGCGAAGCACTCGTTCTCTGGAATTAACTTCGAACTAATGCGGCTGCGCCGTCACGAATATGTAGACGCCGCTATCTTCAATTGCGAAGAAGATGAAGAAGCAGAGATATTCATTCTGGTTTAGAGGAATCGAGTCGAATAAATCCTTCCAATTGTATCGTGAGTAGGGTATTTATTTGATCGATTGATTAGAGGAATTAGAGTCCTTACAGGGGTCGGATTTTGATTTTATACCGGAACTTGGGGGTGTTTGACGGAAAAGAGCAGATTTTCTACCTTACATTCCAAAAAGTGCATTTTGGGGGGGGTTTCTGAGACAGTGCAAAACGGAGTTGGCAGGTCCGAAATAATGTTGTCAGTATTAAACTCATTTTCGGAATTCCCAAGCTCGAAAATGGGGAAAAAATGGAACTTGCCATTTTCGGAGTTGGCAACTCCGAATTAGTAAAGTATTTTTTTTGTATTTTTTTTGTTGTCTTAATACGGATTGTTGGGGCTGCATTATCCAAATGTTGTGTTTATTTTTTTGTTTTGAAGTTTGTTTTATAATTGTTGTTATAAATCGTATTTTGTTCAACATAATTAAAAATCATACAATATTTGTATTTTAAGTTGAATTTGCGTCTGACTCCCGATTTAAATAAAAACATGCATTTTACAAAAATTTGACCCATAAAAATAATTTACCACACGTTTTACAAAAGTGACCCATTAAATGTTTTGAGCACAAATTGTAAAAAGTTTGTTACATTTACATTAACAAAATAATTTTTTGAACGTAATTCAAATTATAGAACCGTACCCATTAAATAATGTGAAACCGGAAAAGATGATTAAAAGTATCAATATGTTAATATATTTACAAGAACAAACTACATTGATTAAAAGTTTCAATATATTAAATTAATGTGACGATTTTTAAAAATAGTTGACCCATTCAGTGTTATGAACTCCAAAGTAAATACAAATACAGTTTACAATATAACACGTTTAATTTATAAGTGACCCATAAAGTCATACGAATTCAAAATTAAACAAAGTTCATTGCACAATAAGTCATATTAAAGGTACATATAAAACATATGGCTAATAAATATTTTACAACATTAAAACAAAGTACAAAAAAAGATTACATTATAAGAGTACAAATACGTACAAATCAATCATGTTGTCCTCTCCGTCTTGGACGCATATCCATCTCATTTGGAAATCTTGTTTCTTGACGGCGCCCAGCTCGAGAAGTTCTGGAAGAGTACTTAGGCGGTAGAAGAATGATCTCATTTTGTGGCCACTCATTCATATATAGAAATGGCATGATATCACTGGAATGTGCATTTATGTAAGAACTCAGTTTGTATACCTCAGGAACAAGATAATCAACATGACAATTTAGAAAATAGCACACAAAATGTGCATGGACGCATGGCATTCCGTTCATCCTCCAACAACCGCAGTCACAAACACGTCTGGATAGATTCACCGTAACAGGTGTTGCATTTTCTACGGAGACCGAGTAAATCCCTGTGTAATGGTTGTGTGGAAGAACCACAATGTGAGGTCTTTGTTGCCAACGCTCCATAAGCTCTTTCCGAATGTTGTCCGGAAAATGATATCCAGCTTGCTGCCACATCATACCAGCAGTACGACGTTTGGCGAAGAGCTGGACTAGTTTGTCAAAAGTCGCTCGCACAAGGGCACTGATTGGCAATGTCCTACATCCTTTGAGAGCATTGTTGAAACTTTCTGAAAGATTTGTCGTTAAAATACCATATCGACAACCATCATCAAAACAAAGTGCCCACTTTTCTTGGGGAATGTCATTTAAATACTTGAAAGCTCTCTCGTTAGTACCCCAAATTTGTTGCATGTACTGATGAAATTCACTTACAATTGGGGTACTTCTCGCTCGCCAACACAACTTCTTTAGTTGTTTACTTCTAAATTGGGTCATGAAATTGCTTCTAATGTGGCGAAGACAATAACGTCTCTGAATTTGAGGTGTTCCCAATTGCTCCACATTTCGAAATGCATAATCTATAGCCGCATGCCTATCGGAGATGATGCAAACATTTCGATCAGTGAGTATGATATGTGTCACAAGCAATTATTGTAAGAACCACTTCCAACTAGCATCATTCTCACTATCTACCACTCCAAATGCTAGAGGGTAGATTTCACGGTTGGCATTCATTGCCACCGCGACTAGGAGATGACCCTTGTACTTGCCATACAAGTGAGTTCCATCAATTGACACCACCGGAAGACAGTGATTGAAGCCGTCAATCGCCGCTTTTATTGACCAAAATGCAAATTTAAACACATATGTTCCTTGGGTGTTGGTGTTATCACTTTAAATATCAATTATGCTCCTTGGGTTAGTATACGCCATTGCTTGTAAGACATTTGGGAGATCGTTGTACGATGTCTCCCAATTGCCGAACCGTTGCTCCAATGCTAATATACGCGCATACCATGCTTTCTTATATCCAACATGAATGTTATACTTTTGGTGTATGTCATTCATTATTACCTTAATACTATAGTCTGGTTTTAAGCGAATCGTAGAACTTATTTCAGAAGCGATGAACTTACTTGTAAGCAGTTTGTCGATTTTGGCTCTTGTGTAAGTCGGAATGCAATTATGGTGGGGTTGATACTGCTTTACTTTCCAAGAGTCAGTGTCCTTCACTTGTGCTGCTTGAATGTGCCACGAACATTGCTCTGGATGGACGCATTTGGCCCTCCAGTATGTAGGACGTTTTGACACATTCTCAAATGCTCGGTACTCTTTCAAGGTTTGAATATAGAATGCTTTTTTGAGTTCGTCAAACGAAGCATATATCCTTCCCACATGTATTGGATCTTCCACACGGTAGGCGGGTTCAACAAACGGATCCTCTTGGTTGTGTGGCACAGCCCAAGACGAGTCATGACTATCATCACTATCATCAGAAGCGCTCTCCTCTTCCGAAAATGACAGATTGTTGTAGTCAGGGTCACCTTCATCCTCCACGGCCTCATGTGAGGGATCCATATGAACCATTGAAGGACCTTGATTTAATGTAGATGGCACCGGGTTGCGCCGCTGCCTAGAAGGGCCTTCGTGCAATGGAATAACCACATCCCTATTGGTTGCATCAATGAATACCTCCAAACGATCATATACGCTCGAAACTATTTGGACAAAATAGATCCACGACGGCTCATCATGTATGGGCCACGGCATAGATGCACACACACCATCGCTAGTATCAAAAGGAAATTTTCCGTGAATGGTTTTAATTTCATTTAAACCATCACGAGAAATCTGAGAAAGTACATTCTCACACAATGTTGAGTAGCTAACATCGGCGTTTAAAAAAAGCACCGCATTCGGAAATGAAGAGTATTTGACTTCGTTGTCAACATTGGTCAATACCCCATTCCAATGAACGAGAACTATTATGTTCTGCTCACTTGACATTTTTATTTGTGGTGGAAGTGAAAGAAATTATATATTTACCAATACAACTTATGAATTTCTTAAATATTTTATATATTTTTTAACAACTAATACGTAGTATTGCGTATTTTCTATTCACCTACTTTTATAGAAATATTAAACCTTTTTGTACAATTATTAATACTAATATAATAATAAAAAAAGATTAGTTCACTTATTGCCTACGTACAATTTACTTCGTAATATCACCGAGTGCGTATTCCGAGATATTTTATCTGATCGGGAATATTTATATTTGATAAAGTGTATTTTTTAATCTGACCGGAGACATTATTGGGGTGGTTGGAAATAATGAGGTTAGTTGTGGAGTGATGGGTGCCTATTCCGAGATATTTTATCTGTCCGGGAATATATTTATCTGATAAAGTGTATTTTTTATCTGACACGAGACATTATTGGGGTGGTTGGAAATAATGAGGTTAGGTGTGGAGTGGATGAGTGCGTATTCCGAGATATTTTATCTGACCGGGAATATTTTTATCTGATAAAGTGTATTTTTTTTATCTGAAACGAGACGTAGTATGTCATTTTTTCTATTCACCTACTTTTATAGAAATATTAAACCTTTTTTCTACAATTATTACTACTAATATAATAATAAAAAAAGATTACTACACTTATTACCTACGTAAAATACTAAAATTTACTCCGTAATATTTCAAGTCATAAATAAATATATGCACACATTAATAATACAAATTGTATCTAATTATAAATAATAATAATAATAATAATAATAATAATAATAATAATAATAATAATAATAATAATAATAATAATAATAATAATAATAATAATAATAATAATAATAATAATAATAATAATACTAATAATAATATTATTAATAATACTAATAATAATAATAATAATAATAATAATAATAATAATAATAACAATAATGAATAAGGAGGAGGAGGAGGAGGAGGAATAAGTCACTAACCTTTCAATAGAGGGGTTGAGAGGAGGGTCGAAGGAGGACTCAGTTGAAGGTATGGGAGAATGGAGGTAGGGAAGGTCAATTTATAAACACAAAACTATCCTCCGATTTGTAGCCAACCAATCACGAAGCCGGAAATCTCATCCTCTGGATTCGGAGCTGCCAAATCCGAAATAGAGAAAGCTGACCACTCTGTTTTCGGAGTTGAGAAATCCGAAAATAAGAAAGCTGATTTTGGGCACTTTTCAATTTCGGAGTACCCAACTCCGTTTTGGCTTTTTTTGTCAAAAAAATCGGATCTACCCTATTTAGAAACACCTGAAAGAAATATGTTCTGTTTCGTCATTTCTTCGGAACTTGGCTTCTATAATTCCTCATCATTCTACAATCATTGGGTATTTGGTCAATTTTCTTTATAAAATTTTGTTACATTTCACGTGATTGAAAAGGTAATAATTTAATTCCCTCCATCCCAATTTGATGATCTCATTTCTTTTGAGCTCAAAGATTAAGGAAGTGGTTGAAAAGGTAAAAGTTGTGGTTGAGATTTGAGTAGAAAAAGGTGAAATGATGTGGACCACATATTTCTTTCCAAAAAGGGAAATGAAACTATCAATTTGAGACAGCCCAGAAAGGAAATACGGGATCATCAAATTGGGACGGAGGGAGTAGTTGATGTTCGAGTATAATAAATTGAAATGATGTAAGTCACATATTTTTTTCAATAATGAAAGGAAACA